AGGCCCCACAAGGGACCCACCCTGACACCAAGCCCTGTCCAGGGCAGCCCCAGCATGGAGCTGGCTGTCTTTCGGGTGTGATGCGCAGCTGGCCCTCTCTTTAAGCAAGTCCTGCCTKGCTACCAGGTGGCTGCTGCACCTAGGTAGCAGGTCTGGGGATCTGCAGCTGCCTGGCGCTGTCCTCATCACATCCCTTTTGCTGATGAGCCTGCTGGGGGGTACCTCTGATTTGCTTGTCCATTTCCATCACCGTTTTGGGTCACAAGTTTATAGCATTGAATTTCTTCCATGARGTGAATGAAAATGGCAACAGAGGCAGCTATCCAGGAGGCCAACACCAGGCTGCGAGGGACACCCAAGTCGAAAATCCCCCGACAGAAAGAGTGACTCCACCCTTCAGGGTATTGCAAACCAAGGGCCAGAGGCACCACCCAGGAAACCAGGCCCTGGGGAGCTAGAGTCCACCCTTCCTCTTGAGGAAGATTCTGGCCTCTATCAGAGGCCCTCAGACTCCCGTCCTGAGAGGCCACAGCCAGCACCAGCTGCCCTGAYGGCCTCCACACAGCCCTTCAGCAGGACGTCTGCCTGGGGTTCTCTCCAGGAACGTGGCCAAGGGGAACACACCCAGCCGTTCTGACAGGTGGCGAGGCCCCGCCACGCCCTCAGCACCGGTTCTCACAAGCCACGGCTTCCAGGAGCGTCTCTACRGGGCGGTCTCTGGTCTTGACGTGCACCTTAAATCGACACCTTCTGCAGCACAGGGTGGAGGGGAGGGCAGCCACGGCACAGAATCACACCTGAGTCTTCATCACAGGTTGGGCCCACAGGACTCAAACACGAGGGGGACAGGAGAGTGCCCTGTGTGGATGRACGCACCTCACCCTGCTGATTTCCACACCCAGGGCCACGTTGCTCCTGAGGGGAAGCACCTAAACCCAAGGACAATCATGCAGGACCACAGTCCTCCTCAGTAAGGGCGTGAGATCTCTCAGAGGGAAGGGGTCTGTGGTTGGAGAAGCAGAAGGTGGAGTGAAGCCCATTATTGGTGGGCGTGTGTCCTGGGGTTTGAAAAACACTCCTTAAATGAACATTCTCTTTCTAAATAAAYAGGCAGCCTTAATCTTTGTCAGTGGAGAAATAAGCAGTTTTCCTGCACCCATCAGCTGTGGGAAGCCAGGCGGGTCMAGGTTCTGGAGGTCCAGTGTTGACAGCCCCAGAAACGCAGGTGCCACTGGGCATTAAATAGCCAAGCAGCCCTCAGCACACCCACACAGGCCCTGTGCCTGTCCCTGAGGCGTGCACAGTGTCCTGCCACCTTGAGCCCAGCACCCCACCTCCAGAGACGGTCTGGGGACAGGTTGGGTGGTGTGAACATCTGGGATCCAACAAAAAGTACCACTGAAGACCAGGGTGAGCTCCTCGGAGGAGGCCAGTTAGCTCCCGGTCTCTAAGATGTTGCGTGAAAGTCTGATCCTTAGAGGGCCCTCTCCCCAGGGACCACAGAGGCCAAACAGAGGGAGAGAAAAAGACTCCTGGGGTTTCCTGCTGGAGAGCCACGCTGCATCTCTGCAGGGGCTGGTCCTTAGGCAGAAGATGAGCTGGTGGGTTTGTTCCTACCAAGGGCCTCTCAGAACCTGCTGAAGGAGCCCAGGTTGAGCCAACAACATGATGTTAGACCCAGAGAGCTGGGCTGCCCGCAGAGCCCCCTCCTCAGTGTGCAGGAGACACACGCGTGGCTCTTCATCCGCGATGCCACCAAAGAGATGGAAAACAGAGTGCCGAAATCTCAATGCCCACCAAGAAGAATGTCACGAGGACAGGATGCTGATAGGGAATCTGGAACTTCACGTAAATGGCACTTAAGAAGTTATGTTCTGTCATTTCTGTGGGTCAGAATGGATGCTTAGGGAGAAAAAGTGATTTGTCGTTTGCCAAAAGTCATTTATCTTATATGGTATGACCCACTTCCCCCACCACCACCAAGGAAGTCAGAGCATGGAMTGCAACTTCTAAAATCAAATTTCCAATTATCTTGTTGTAGATAGCCATGTGTAATTGGATAGAATAATTTCAATGCTTTAATTTGTATTATGTTCATCTTTATTTTTATAGATATTTTCTAAAGAAAGTATTTCCTAACTGTATTTCAACATTTTAAAACTATTTTCCYGGCTAAAATTTTAATTTGAGAACAGTATTTGCTTTGTACGATAAAAATGATAGTTCTTTCCCTTCAACACGTTCTCCAGGGGCAGCTTTTGTCTATCTGGGCTGCAGTTTGAAGAACATGCCCTGCCCGGGCACCGTTTCTCTGTACAGAGGTGGTTTGCAAAGCCAGCCGACCTCTGCCTTCAGCCCCCAGCTCTGTCCAACSCTTTAGAGCTACCTCAGGACTAGGAGGTGGTTGTCAACAAGAGTCACCTGCTTCAGACAGGTGTGGACCCCGGTGCCTGGCTCCCTAGGGCACATTGAGCTCTGGAGTCCTCCCATGGACTGAGGGGCTGGCCACCTCCAGCAGCCCCAGGCATTCAGATATGGCCAGTTCCCAGGTGTTCGGGTATGGCCAGTCCCCAGGTGTTCAGGTGTGGCCAGTCCCCGGATGTTCAGGAATGGTCAGTCCCCAGGTGCTCAGGTATAGCCAGTCCCCAGGTGTTCAGGTGTGGCCAGTCCCCAGGTGTTCAGGTGTGGCCAGTCCCCAGGTGCTCAGGTATGGCCAGTCCCCAGGTGTTCAGGTATGGTCAGTCCCCAGGTGTTCAGGTATGGCCAGTCCCCAGGTGCTCAGGTATGGCCAGTCCCCAGGTG